CCTCGTGTGGCAGAGTGCGCCCAACCTCCCCAGGTAGCTGACCACACTGCTGTCTGGCAGAAGCCTACCGAGCGAGGGCTTTTCTCTCCCCAGTGTCCTGTATTCTTTCCCCATGCTGCTCAGTGAAATATACCACAAAGAAAATAGTCCTGAACTCTACTGTCAAACTGAAAAGGAAACAAATAAAGAAAAAGTATAGAAGGCAGCGTAGTACAATTTGAAAGGACATAAAATATATTTTGCCAGAGTGTGCAGGCATTAGATGACCTTGTATGAAATAACGTATTCTTCATATACACTTGCATGTTGTAAAAAAATAATATGGCTATTCTAAGTTACACAAAATGACTATAATGTTACAACATGAAGTACAACAAAATGTTTTCAAGTACCAAAATAATCTCCTTTCTATAACAATAAAATGTTGAAATGCAGATACTTAATTTTGAATTCTTAATATAAATAGATCCATAATATTTTAATGCATTTTTACTAAGTTTACCCAATCTTCAGTGTCTAGAAATCACGATAATTAAGAAAATGAAAATTACCTGCCATCCTTCATTGGGTCCCAGGTTCCAATGATAAATTCTTATAATAACTAATTGAAATACATGCTCAGGTTTATATTTGAATGAACTGTTTTACCCTGAAAACATGGTTGGTTAAGATATTTCTACCCAAAGAAAGTATTCGCAAAAACGGGAAGAAAATAATTCTGCTCTCTGGATTACAGAATAAAGGACTGAGAACCACACGATTTCCTTCACTGTAATATGTCTTTCAATTCAGCTTTTTTTGTATGTGATGAAACATCTTTCCTAAAATATCTGCGCTATGAAAATAGCACTGATGAGAAGTAATTTTAAACTTAACTAATTTTGGCAGCATCTCTATTTCAAAAATTTGAACAAATGTTTCCATTACAAACTCGAGATGTGACAATGCTCCAAGTACTCTGATAAGTAAACCTGTCAAAACTGTATTATCTGGGAAGGGCTCTGGAAGGGGAGGTAATTCAAGCTCTTATTCTATCAAGACAACACAGCATACACATCAACATAAAAAACTAATAACCAAAATAAATAGGGTAAGTTGTAGCCAGACTCCTCTCAGAGAAACCAAAGCCTAACAATGAACTCTATTGGAAAAATTCTAAATGCTACAGTAAGTGCTGTAGCATCCAAAGCATTTCTGAGAAAGGACCACTTCTTAGATGTGAACATAAAACGCAGAAACTATCTCCCCAAATGTATTCCATACCCCTCTTCAATGAGAACACCTTCAGATTTTCTAGGAAATTGCTTTAAAAACAAAGTTTATGCTACAAATTAATAATCTGCCCAAATTCAGACAGCACTTAATTTATTTATCTAGGACAGAACACAACTCAATCAATTCAAACATTAGTTTTTTAAAAATGCCATTCCTACCTTTGTTATTTAAATATTAACAAACTATTATTTCAACATTATTAACTTTATGTCTTGGAATCCAAAAATTTACACTCTATTTCATAAATTTAATAAAATTAAAATTCTCAGTTTAATTCATACTGCCAGCATAATATTTATATCTATAAAAAGATTAACATTAAAATGGGATACTATTTTGTATCATTTATACTTGTGATGGCCTTGAGAAGGCTCTAAGTAAATACTGTGCTCACCAGCAAGACAGGCAGAAGTCATTACCTTTGGCCTACATTCATAAACTCAAGCAAAGAGCTTTAAAATATAAAACATTTTATATCATTACTCCAAATTGAAGGTGTTTGGCCTCAGCAAAGATGGCAGCAGTTTATATCTAAAATATCTCAGAGGAGAATACCGGTAACTTGCAAATTGTAAAAAATGATATGACTATTCTTTCTAAGTTACACAAAATGACTATAATGTTACAACATGAAGTACTGATGTTTTCAAGGAATTCAGTTTAGCTGCTGTTGTCAAGACCATCCTATCTGAGTCACTTGCAGAGAAAGTAATCTTTAAGGGCATGAGCCACACAAAGCTCCAACAAAGTTCAGAGGCAACCTCTTTTCCCATTCACTTCAGCCCTGACACTGCACAACCACAACTAAAATTCACCTGAACAGTATAGCTAGTCAAAGCAGGTGTGACTCATTTGTGGGTAGGAATTGTCTGCTGACAAACCAAGTTGGTTTTTATCTACAGCAGGCTAATATGAAGATGTCTAGAGAAAAATTCTCTTTCCAAAATGTGAGATTCAACCTAAGTGCTGACTATTTAATTAAATCTAGGCTTTAGAACTTCATTTAAAAATATTAGTTGCTTTTACTTATTTCTATAATTTCGTATGATCTGATCTGGGTTGTAACAAAGTTAATGTGTCAGAAAAGATCAGTACCAGGTGATGGCACTTTCAAAGGATCACTATCAATGACTGGAATGTACTTCCAATTCAGGCCTGAGGTTAACAAGCCACAAATATGCTCCAATACGTACGTACGTATGTACGTACGTGTGTGTGTGTGTGTGTGTGTGTAAATATTTTTTAAAAACAACTTTTATTTTTTTAACAGTTTCATCAGTATGACACAAACCCAAGTATATTTTTTCACTTCCTCTTTCCTCCATGATTAACAAAGAAGTATTTAATCAACAGGAGGGAGTCCAAAAGCAACCACATAACCACATGGCAAAACCAAAGACGACAGCACAACCTAGCCTTCCAACATGTGACCCTGAGCCACTCCCCTGCAAACCAGATTACATTCATCCTTAATGTCATCGTTAATTTAAGCGAATGCGATTCTGGAAAACTATGCACTTGCTGTGTCATGACAACAGTGTACTGACAGCCTTATTTTGGCATACTTTTGTTTTTGTTTTTGTTTTGAGGAGCAGTTTTCAAAGCCCATCCTCAAACATGGTTCTACTTTTGGCTTCATTTTTCTCAATACTGATACCGCCCGATTGGTTTCACAGGCTTATAAATGTTAAACATCAAAAATTAGTTTCACTTATTATGGTTAGAAAAGGCTTTAAGAACTCTGGGATCTGTGCCTCTGAGCAAAGGCTTTATCAGCTGGCCCCAGTCACTGCTTCTTGAGAAAAAACAGTACTGATTAAAAACCAGTATACCTGATTTCCAAAAGGACACCTAGCATGCACATATACATAGAACTCATAAAGGATTTCTGCCCCAAACTCACAACTACTTCTCAAAATCCCATCTCTCATCTCCACAGTGATTGACACCAAAGGGATAAATATGAAAAAATTAAATCTCAAACTAAACTATTCAAGAATTCCATCTTGATTACTTTAGTTATTCTTCACGGGTGCTTAATTAACATGGCATCAGTATCTTTCCAATGTCTGAGTCTGAATAGCAAACACTTTCCAGATGTTTTTCCACTTATACAAAGACGAGAATAGGACCCAAATTATTGTTTCTCTTTTAATCAGAATTCTTTAACCCCACACTAAATAAATTTAATTTATTGTACTAGAACAAAGCATTACATTTGTATGGAAGTAAAAAGAACACTTGAAAAAATGTTTACTATCCTTACAAGTGCTGAAAATATGTATTTCTAAAGCAATCTCATTTGTCATAAACTGTGACAGAAAATAAGGACCCTTAAAATGGAAAATACCTAGTCAGTATTATACAAGTCCCATTTCTAAAATAGCAGTATGACAAAACAAAACACAAACACAGAAACCGAATATCCTCAAAGGAAACACGCATTTCGGAGGCTCCGAGGCACCACGTCTGTACATTGTCACAAGCAGCTTCAGAGGGCAGAGAAAGGAGAGCTCACGAGTGAACCCCGGAGGCAGACAAGGTGGGGGTTCACATGCGACTAACTGCTGGTGGACACGAGGCCACTAGTGACCCCAGCTCCTCCCAGTGTATCATTTAAGCTTCACGAAAAAAAATAATAATTTCTGAATCCCTAAGCCTCAATTCTGGACTTGTTTTTTCCCTACTTAAAAATATAAACCTCGCAAAACACTTATGGCCAGCAGCCAAAAACAGAAAACAAATAGCCAGCCGTCAATGGTAGATTTTTTGACATCTGAGATGAAAGAGTGAAACAGTATTTCCATAGAAGAATGTACTGAAATAGTAATTTCATCAGTAGTCTGTCGGGAAAAATGCTCACCTGCAGATAAGAAAGAATAGTACCTGTGGCCAACAGTTTACACAGATGACCAATGATGTTTTCTATGCACTCAAACGCCACAGAGTAGTTACAGCTTAAGAATGAAATGAAGAAGGTAGAGACATGCTAAAACTGAAAGCTATAGTAGGACTTTGTTTTCCTAGAAAAGACAAAAGAATTACAAAACAACAACAACAAAACATATGCCAATATGAGCTCTTTACCCTGTGCGACTCTGCCTAGAGACACCTAGCAGTGATTCCCAATTAGAGGAATATTTCCCCCAGAAGGTGCAAGTCAGAATCTTCTAGAAGCCTTGTGTACTTGGGAAAAAAATATGCAACATAGCTATTCGTTTTGTACTATAGACTACAGGTTTAAAAAAAAAAAAAGACTGAAAATTCTTTAGGACTGAGGGAAATGTGCAGAATATGAAATAAGAAAGCATTCGGGGGAGCTAGGGTTAGAAAAACACTGAAAGACGTGACATTAGAACACACCGCGCCCTCAGGGAGAGTTAAACCGAGTTAAAGATGCAAATAGAAAAAGAAAGCTAGCCTTTTAATCATAACTGGCAAAAAGCTCTCTGAATTAGGTGAAATCTTGGGTTGAATATCAATCATGGATTATTTCCACCATAAGTTTTTAGACAATAATTTAAAAACAGAATAATTTAAAAACACTAAAGACAAAAATAAAATGTAGCATTTCAAAATAAATGGAAGAAGAAGAGGAGAGAAAATGGAAAGGAAAATCTTAGATCAAATATCTGAATACTGAACTTACTTGTGATTATGAAACGAATCTACATTCATTTTAGAAAATGTGGACAGCCAGGACACATGCTGCCACTTGGACTCACCTCCCGGGTGGCTAGCTGGTTGCTGAGCTCCTCAGCCTTCTCAATGTCCCACTCTTCCACAGCCTGGTCCAGGCTCTTTTCAAGGCCTGACTGGAGAGAAACCAAACCTGAAACTTAAAGGCAGGAAACAAAGGCAAAGGAACATTTGCTAGCAAAGACCGTCTCGGGACTACACCAACATGTTCTGTACGCAGACCATCTGATTCTCGTGACAACCCTATAGGTAGCTGGCACCCCTCCCATTTACTGACGAGAGAAGGTAACTCGGAGACATTACATGGCTTATCCAAGGTCATGTAACTTCTCGAACTAAGAAAAAGAGATGCTAATCCAGGTTTCTGTGACTCTAAAGCCTACGCTTTCTCTTAACAACAATAATGTTGATAATAATAGAAACTATGGCATGCTTATTATGTGACAGACTCCAGGCTTAGTACTATAAAAAGCTCATTTATCCTTATAACTCTTTGAAATAATATTGTTATCCTGTTTAGAGGTAAGAAAACAGGCTCCGACTCACTACCTTGGTTAAGGTCACAGGGCCTGTAAGTGGTGAGGTCATGGCATGAATCAAGGTTTGCCCAGAGCCTGTATTCTCAACCATGGTTTTCCTCTGCCTCTTTTCTCTGCTGCCCATTCCTGTATATTGAGACTGCTGTTCAACACCCTCTCCTAGTCTTTTACTATAGGTATTAACTTGAATATTAAACATGGGAAGAAAGTTATTGGCATGGGAATTGAATATTAAACATGGGAAGAAAGTTATAAAAAGTCATGGGATGCAAAGTACAGCATAGGGAATATATTGTAATAACTATGGACTGTGTCAGATGGGTACTATACTTATTGGGGTGATCACTTCATAAGGTATATAAATGTCTAATCACTATGTTGCTCACCTGAAACTAACATAATATTGTATATCAATTGTAACTGAAAAATACATTTTTTAACAAAGTAGTATTACTTCCTTCTAATGACCTGAGAGGATGATAAACTTCTTTTCCATGTCCCAACGGTAGCCTGAGAACCCTCAGTCAAGTGACTCTCGGAGTCTCTGACCCTGGGCCACGTGGCTCTACTGCCCTTTCCCCATTTTCTGGTCCCGTGACCATCTATCAGTCTCCAGAAATTGCCCTTTCTGGTATATCTGCAGAACCCTTCTCCAGATGGTCCCAAACAACACCCTGGACTAACTTTTCCAAATCCTTCATCTTCAGAGACCTCTAACTGCACCCCAACTCGGTAGTCTATACACCAAGACAGTGCCACTCCAAGTGTGGTCTGTGTGCCAGCTGTGGTTTGCAAATAGTGCCAGAATGCAAATCAACTACACGACTACCCGCAGTTTTGTTCAGCTGACTCTTTTTTAGAGGTAAGGGAGGAGAACAAGACCTTCTCAAAGGAGGAAGTCGTACACTGAGTTCCATTCGGGCACAATCTCTTTATCTCTTGGAAGACCAATAGTCTGAGTAGGCTTAGTCTAGGCTGTGTAACAAACATCACCCGAAAAATCCATTTGCAAAGCTGTACAATCCGGAGTTCTCTCTGTAGACACAAGCTTCCATCCTTCCACTTATCCCAAGTCTTTGTAGCCAGTGAACCTGCCTTGTCTACATGTGGAAACCCATCCCCTGGCACTGTCATGTTTATTCTCACAGACCTGCAGTCCCTTCCTGTATTCTCTTTTCCTCCCTCTCTGGCCTGCAACCTATGATTAACCTTTTCTAACTGGACTCTAAGCCAGGAGTTCTCCAAGCGTGAGTATGGACCAGCAGCAGCAGCATTACCTGGGAACTGGTTAGAAATGCAAATTTTCTGAATCAGAAACTCTGGGGGCGGAGCCCAATAACCCACGGGTTCTAAGCAAGCTGAAGTTTGAGAACCACTGACCTAAGCAATACCTTCAACATCCTCCACATCCTATCTTGTTTTGGCTATTCCCAAGCATGTCTTTCTACCACTTGAACATCAAGTTGGCTTGGCAATGTCAGAGACAATCAAACAATTCAATGGCTTCACTAAAAGCTGTGTTGCAAACTGGGTGGCCTCTCAGTTCTGCCCTTGAAAGTTCCCACATTCCTCTAAAAAACTGTTACATCTTCTCCATTTTTCCAAATGCCCTCAACCCTACCTCCTTCCGTTTCGGCAGATTATAACTCTACCCTCTACTTCATGGGAGGCCGAGGCAAGGGAACAGAGGGAAGCGAAGAACTAAGGCTCTGTATCTCCTTTCTGTAATCTCCCTCTCTTCCACCTCAAAACGAGTTATCATTTATTGTGTTCCTCCATCCCATTTCCTCCAAGAAAGAGCCGTCTCCCTTGGCAACACTAATCCCACCACCTGTGCTTACCCCATCTGCTTACATGCTTTAGAACCACCCGGCTCTTTACATTTTCTGCCCCCCTCTCTCTTCTTCATCTTTCTCTCCCTACACACAAGCTCGTCCTCCCATTCTGGACCAGGGGATAGATGGGATGACTCGGCCTTCTTGCCTCAAACTGATTTCTTCTTATGTGAGTACTTCATCTCTCCTCTAAAACACTGTATCAGATGCCTCATGTCGCTTCTTTCAATCTTCTAGTCCTTTTGTCCTCATCATTCTTCTGAAACTGCTCCCTCTACAGTCACAGGTGACGCCATCGGTCCTCCTTCCACTTGTTTTTTTATGTTAACTTCATTCTTCAAACGATCTCCCCAAATATCTGTCTTCAGTCTCTTCTGAAGCCCCTTGTGTCCTCTTGTTGTCCCTTTATGACAGTAGGCCTCCAGGTTCTGTGATCGGCCCCCTTTGCTTCTCGCTCTTCATTCACCCAGTAACTCAATCCTAGGGCTCCCATTAATTCTTATGAGCTGCTTTGTATCGCTAAATAATTCAAAACTTCTGACCTGTCACCTGTATCAATATCTGCATCCCCAGCTGCTCGCTAGTTATCTTCAGGCCGAAGGCCTTCATAGTGAAGGGAGGGTCTTCAGTTTTTATTGTCTAAAAATGAGCTCATCACTTCCCGCCTGCTTCTCCCTCAAGCTGACCACCCACTTAGTCACTCACCCCTGACAGAATCCTGTTATCTTCAAGCCTGCAACCCCGTGCTCCTATTTTAACTGCTTCTGTAGTGTCTCATTTCTCCCTTCTGTGCTTCTTCAGGGCCTTCTCATCTCTTGTTTGAAAGATTATAACCATCTCCAAATTGGTCTCCTGTCTTTCTAAAGCAATACTGTGTCATTACCCATCTTAAAACAATATCGCTTCTTTATTCCTTTTGAACAGCATCCAAATCCCTTCAAAACAGGGTCCCAAAATGCTTTCTCAGCCCCATCTTGGGCAATGCTGTTACTTCCTAATCTCTGGCCACATCTACCATTCTCCTAATGTCCCTGTGCCTGTGATGCTTCCACTTGAAAAGCCTTGATCATTCTTATAAGTGTCATGTCATGTCAAAGCTCCTCTATCTATGCAGGTGCCCTCATCCCTATATACCCCCTGACCCTGCCACACCCCTCCCCAGGCCCAGCCCCTAACTGCTCCTGTGTGCTGTTGCTGCACTCTACACCTCTCTTAGGACTTGCTTACCTGATACACTATAGCGACTTGTGTGTCTGTGGTCCTATGCTCACTACGGGCGACATGTGTGTTACCAGCTTGGTGTGTCCCAGCATCTGGCCCAGTTTCTCTCACACAGGAGGTGCTCGCTCAGCCTGAGTAACCGAGTTACTATTCAGTGCAGTAATCTATGGCTCACTGTACTGAAGGAACCCCATCCAAAGGGGGAACATTTATACATACCCACTGCTTTCCCAAGTTCTAGAGAACTCCACACAGTAACACTAGGGTAATAATACCCCTATGGTTTAAGAAACACCCCATCTTATCACACTTACATATAAATCTTCCCACGACTAGAGCACACATTCCTCGAGGGCATGGAGAATGCCTTCCCCATCTTGGGCACTTAGATCTTATTAGCATGGCACAGTACCTGCACCTGGAACTTTTTACTTATTATTTATTTTTATAGTAGAAATAAAGCATTTCATTTAAGAAATGTTAAAACAATGGCCTCTCCTTCCTGCACAGAATATTAGGTATCTCCTCAAATACCACTGATACATGAAAACAAAACACTGATATCAAACCTCCATTTTCCCTGGACCTCACACCCGGGGGCAGCAGGATACCCGGACCCTGACCTGGTCTGCTTCAGCCTTTCATCTCAGCAGCCTGACCCCTAACAGCACCATTCCCGAGCCCGTCCTGCATGTTCCACACAGCAGCTCGGCTTGTCTCCCTCCGATTATGTGGGCTTCCTAAGGTTACGTAAGATCTGGGGGCTGTGTTCCCTTACTCCGGAACCTCAGATTAACACAGGTCAGCGAGCAAAACGGAATCCACCCTATTTTTACCGCCAATGCCCGTGAATACACCAGTGGTCTGCTTATCAGTCATTTGCCTGCATCAACTTGCTAACTTCCTTCCATTCGGCTACCTTGGAGCCTCGGTATACAAGTTAATGTCACAACAGGGAAAACAAAAACATCCCCCTCTTCTAGAAACTTATATGAACTGCTCAGCTTATAAGTATAATTTTCACTTAAAAATAAGTCATCTAAAATTATGAATGTATCTCTTAATCGTCAACCAACTGCCTGTCCCCCAGCCAATCAGAGCAGCCTCTAAGGGAGACGCATAATATAGGAGACAGCATCGAACTGGAAGTCAGGAAATGTGGTCACAGCTCTGGGTAAATGAGGCACTTAATTCATAAGTGTCAGTTCCCTTAAAGAAAATGAGAGTACTGGCTTGGCTGACCAAAATTCTCTCCCCTAAATAAGATCCTAGAATTCCACTTGTATGTCCAACTTTGTTTTTAGCTCTTTTAAAGTTTTTTTGGTTTTCTGGGGTTTTTTTAATTTCAAAGAAGTTTCACTAGATATAACTGTTTCTTTTTTCCTTCTTTTCTTTTTTGTCAATTTATTTAGTAAAATATAATAGTTCTTTTTGGCTCTGAAATATTTCTGGATCCATTTGCATGCCAATCTTTCTGCTCCTATAAGATGATATTAACATTCCAAATGCTTCCACGGTACAAAACCATTCTCAGGCAAAACATTTGCATCCCCTTAGCACTGTAAGATAACAGCAGTTTTCAAAGAGCATGGCTGCTGAGGTCAGACCAGGGTTTTCATATTCCAGCTCCTCTACTTACTAGCCAAGAAGTCCCGGGTGAGTTCCTAAATTTCTATAGGTTATAATTATCTCAGCTATAAAACGAGAATAATACCACACTTTCTGCAAGGTTACGATAAGGGTCCAACAAAATATATTTAAAATACCAGGCAAAGTTTTAAGATATAGTAGTCATTCAATAAGTAATTTGTGCATATTATTATATCTAAATATCAGGACACTATTAAAACAAAAAGAAGGTTCAGCTCTATATGGCTACACAACTCATCATAGTTCTTCAAGGGCTCGGACCAAAGCACAAGACCCAAGAGTTCAACTCTGAGTCAGTAAGTAGTCTCAGGAAATAAGATTTGAGCACGAGGCTTTTGAAAAGTTTTAAGCTGGACCTAAGAGTAACCTTTATTGGAATTACCTAGGATGTCTTTCATACCACTGGAGTGGCAGGAGGCACAGAAGCACTGCTGATACTCTGCAGGGCCGTGCTGTGCTTTTAAGATGCATTTGGCAGGAATCAGGATTTAGCTTAAGATGTATCTTAATACAGACCAACAAAATTAGGGATGACAATTTGGCCACAGGTGGAAAATCATCTAAGGCAGCATCTAACAGGTTCCCATGAGGCAACAAGTAACCTCTAATTAAGTTTTGCTGCAGCTGCCAAGAAGGCAGTACTACAAATATCTAAGAAATTTATGGCTTTAACATTAGGTTTAACATTAAAGATCAACCTTCCATACGTGTATATGTAGAATATCTTTCAATATGTGATAAAGCTCCAAATCAAACTACCATAATACAGTTCTACAAAAATTTTGCTACTAAATATTTATTTATTTGGATATGTACTATATTCAATTTTTAAAGCTTAATACAAGTGAATCATCCACTGAAGTTTGCTGTACTATGCATAATTAGACCCAAATATCTAGGAAAAAAATTAGGTAATCTCTCCATAAAGAAAAGGGGGGAGAGAGCTAAGAATTAGTGTTGTTCCCTTTATATATAGATCCTACCCACTTAAATTACGTGAGTCAGGTAAGGAAAAACTAAGTTGGGCTTTACTTCAGAAAAATATAGATTTAGTACCAAATGACTATAGTTAAAGTCTCATTTCACTTCTTACCTGCTCTGTTTTCTTAGACAAATCATGCTGGGCTTCAGTTTCTTCATCTATATTCTGAGAATAATACTGGTCCTACCTGCCCACCCCACAGGAGTCTTAGGGATTAAGGGAGACCACTGTGTAATTGATACCAAAGTAACGTCATGTCCCACTGCAACCTCACCCGCGCTTCCACAGCCTCCACAGCCCTCCTCTCCTCCCTGCGCACTCAAGGCAGCCAGCCTTTTATCTGATCTGTGTACTGCAGGCCCATGTTAAGATTCTGGTTGGAAAACGCATCCTGCTAAAAAGTAAGTTTGAAAAAAGCTACACTATACAATAGCAGTTTCCTCTCATAAACTAAAAAAAAATTATCAGACATTGTGCAATTACTCCAAAAATTAAAAGCACCCCTGGTTTTTCATGCCAGAAAGTATCCATTAAGTATACATAAAACTACTTCAATAATGACTGCTGAGTAATCAAATTGATTCAGCTAAAGAATACTTGAAACATTTATAATGAAATTAATGAGTGAAATTTATTCCAAAGAAACTCCCACAGATTCAAAATAATTATGTCATGATTACAGAATTATTATTAAGCCCCAGAACTGCTGCCAGAAACACAATTATAGTTGTATTTAATACAAAGAACACTTTAAAACAGCTTTGGATATTAGGAAGATTATATTTAAAAATACAAGCTTCTCTGCATTGTCGTGGAAAAAGGGGACAACAGTGTTATAAACACACATCCTTGATTGAGCGAGTTTTAGCCTGGCAGTATTCCAAAAAAAAAAAAGAAATTAGAAAAAAACAACAAAACTTCATGACAAGATACAAGATTAAGAAGTTTGTTTTGTTTCACATTCTTCAGGGTCAAGTGACTACAGAATAAAAAGGCCCTCTGAGATATGGTAACATACCTGTCTCTGCTCTAGAGAAAATAATAAACTAGAAATCTATGCTAGTCTGTCACTATCCTTTCTGGGTTTCTTGGGCAGTAGCTACCATCTGCTGGACTTACATTTATTCTTAGCTTTCATCTTGGTGCCTGCACTGTGGACCTTCTTTAATGTCTATATACTCTGTTGGGTTTGCAATAGAGACTTTAGAATGACAGCAAAAGGGGTGCATGTAAAACGGCGACCCCAAACCAAAGAATGAGTGTGAACCCGCTGGCATGTGATTATGCTGAACTACTAAAAGAAAATGAAACATTCTGGCTTCACTAAATACTCCCTTTCCTTTTATTCTTATATTTATTTATAGAATACTTAGTGCTGGCAAAAACCTGGGCAGATGTAAGCCTGCCCGACATCCGTTTCCTTGTTTAAAAGGCTGCCAACACTTTCTTAACCAGATGTCATTCATATAGAGGAATGTCGACCCTTAACAAAATCCAAACGTAAAACAGATCAATGGGCGATAACAAAACAATTTACAGCAGTCTTCCCTTAAACAGAAATCTCATTTTTTAAATGGTATTTGACTTATAATTTTTTTCTAGGATACATCTAATATATAATGTGAAACAGAACACTAGTTCCTAAAACTGAGTTGTCTAGCACTAAGAGTTAGCCATATCCGGCCAGTATCAAGAAAATAAAATTTCATCTATAGGGTAATAATAAAATTATAATATAGATATATTGTAAAAATACTCTCAAAATCTCTACTTTTTAGAATAGCTAAAAATTTAATTTCATGGCTTTAAAGTCACTGCGAAATAATTTAGACATTCTAAAGTCAGTATAGTTACGAGAAAATATAACAAATACTGTAAAGAACAGAAGATCAAAGACCATCTAATTCACAAGTAAAACTCAAAAAATATATCCTACGAGAACCAACATTTAACCATTTCTTCCCTCAAAAGAACCATCTAGTCAGAGTTTGGGACTCTACAGCAGACAGGACAGAGATGGCCCAAGGACCACGACTGTCAGGATGACCCTCCTCCCTGATGCTCAAGAATGCTAGAGGTTTGGTCCAGTTAAGAGCATGACCCCTCCGCCCAGTCCACCAGAATCACAAGAATCAAGTGCATGATCAATACACTTTAAAAGGCTTACCAGCCCCTTCTGCAGTGAAGCTAGAGAACTGTAATAAAGACTGGGTTTTAGATTCAACTCTACCAGCAATCTTTCTTTGTTAGCATTTCTGCACCTGCTTGAACACTGATAAAAAGGACATTGCTCAGTACCAGTAAGTAGTTGTGGCAGAAAGCGATCCTGGTTCCAATTTTCTAGTGTTCTAGGGACTTAAATGACAACACTTGGCAAAGTTGGAATCAAAAGGTTCACAGGCAAAATTCTGTTGTGTCAGTTCCTTAATGCACAGGCCCTCAATGACACAATACTACCCAACGACAGGTTTAAAATTAGTGGTTTTCGCGAGAAATATTGATTAATCAGAAAATGGTAACGGTATCTATGCACACACAGTACTCTACAGCAATGACCCATGAAGGAGGAATCTGTCTACACACGCAAGGTGCAATATACCTAAGCTTCAACCAGGTGGGGTCCTGTGCCTCTAGCCTTATCACTCAGTGGTCACTTCTCATGCCTGGAGTCTGTCACCGTTCACCTACGTGAATATGTAAGGTGCTCATTCATTCAAGCCTCTACTCGGTATTAGTATCAACTATACACTAAGGATTCCCAATGTGTCTCGGAAGCTCAGACGCTCCTGCAAGCTCCTGCCTGACTTGACCAACAGTCTATTCTATTCCTGCGTGCTGAATCACCCATGCCCCAAGCTGAACTTTGGCGAGGCCGCCCTCCCAAGCTTTCCCATCTTTAGCACTAGCATCACCATTCACACCACTGCTTAAGTAAAACCTTGAAGGGATCTTTTCCCTGTTTAAGCCCAAATCCTCCACCACCTCACAAGCAACCCAGAGGCAAACAGCATCAATTCTACTTCTATGGTAGACCACAAATCCTTCCATTTTTCTCCATCTTCAACAATTTTTGTTCAAGCCGCCATCATCTCACGCCTAGAAGAGTCTCCTAACTGTTCTCTTCTTATCTATGTTTGCTGCCCCACAGTCCATTCTCCACATAATAGCAATCTTTTAAAACATAATTTAGGTCATGTCACTCCCTTAACTCAAAACCCCTGAATGACTCAACTGCGCTGTGACCCTATTCCCTACTACGCCCCTTAAGGTCCCACACAGTCTGGTCCTTGCCTGCCTGCCGGCCTCTCCAGTCTTCTCTTTGGCCACCCTCCTCCTCACTGACTCTGTTCCAGCCAGGCTGACCTTCTTACAGTTCCTCAAACGTCCTGTGATGACTCCTTCTTCCCTGGATCTTTACCCAGGTTGTAACATCTACACTAGTATTCTTTATATAGAGGGTTCCTTCTCATCCTTCAGGTTTCAACGAAATGGCATCTTCCAAGAAAGGTCTTCCCTGACTACACAACTGGGGCCTCCATTTCAATTTCTTGACAATACCCTTTCATTTCCTTAAATTTTCTTTCTTTTCTTTTTCTAATGATTTGTAACTATATATTTACTTGTTTTATGTAGCATCTTGTTTGTCACACAGTAGGCATTTTAACTTTTTCACTGAATGAATTAATGAGGAGAAATACCTTGGGCAAGGTAATTACAAACATTTCCTATTGGGTAATATTAGATGCAATAAAAAGATCTTACCTTGTCAATTTTTTTCTTTTTAACAGGGGGTTCAAATCTGTCATTGACTCCAAAATACTGAGAAAGTTCCTTTAACTGGGTTTGACTTGAGGCCTGTTCACTACAAGAAGACAGATGATAACTTACATTTTATACAAAATGTACTTTTATTTTTACTGTTTTTAATTGGTTGCTACAATTATATTACATCAACTACAATTATATTACAAGAACCAATTCTTATGTTTCAGAGGTAATTCAACTATTTGTACAAATTCTACAATACTGTCTAAAATAGACAAATATTTTTAATTCTACCTACCTATGAGGATCTTCTTCATTCTTCAATTTACCTGAAAAAAATTCAATGTTAATACCTAAGTATTTGGTTATCTCAAACTTATGTTTATTAAAAGTTATCGAGCTCAGTTACAGTTTAACATTAGCACTATGACAATTAACCTGAATTAAAACAAAACACCTTTTTTGGAGCGTTTTCTTTTTTTCCTGAACCTTGAAGATGAGTTTTTCTGTTCAGAGTGTTTTTTATGCAATTCTTGAAATTTCTATACAAAAGTAAAAAAAAAAATAAAATAAGGAGCAAATATATTTTGAAGCAAAGCATATATTCAAAAACTAACAAACATGTTAAATAATAATATTCTATTATTTATAAACATATAATGAAAGTAGTTCAGTTCCTGAGATACTCCATTCTACAAGATTTTCTCAACCTGAGTTTGTATCTTCTTTATTTCTTATTTATTTATTTATTTCTAAATAAGTCAAACTGATAATCTGAGAGTAAAATTCAATGATGCATATAGATAACGAAAAGATAAAATTAAGATAAAAACTCCTCCTGTATCACATTAGGCAAAGTAACTAATCTTACTAAATGTTTTCTTCCTCTTTATATGAAAAACAAAACAAAAATGAAAGCAAGTATCTGAGTGGCCAATGGATTGACCAGACCTACAGTGTAACAAAAAAGAATTCTGAGTCAAGTTTTCCTACCCATTGCCTTCCAAGAACATATACATTCTGACAATGGCAGACAGACAGGCACGCACGCACGCACACACACACACACACACACACACACACACACACACACACACAGTGTGTGTACAAACACTGGCTTTAATAAGAACACATCAGAGAAAACCTACATTCCACATATGTGAGGGAATTCCAGAAGGACATTCTTCATATGCATTTACATTTGCCTCTGCTTCAGTTTTTGGTTCATCTGTAGGGAAATCGGAGATCTCAGCTTTTGTAACGGTCTCATCTTCTTTATATTCCTCTAAGTTAAGTCTCGAGTTCTCTAATGTGTCTTCATCTTCAGAATTCAACTCAACATCACTTTCATTTAGGCCAGGAGGTAGCAGTCCACTCCACATCTTTTCTTCTAAAGTGGAAAAGATGAATTTAGACTTAAAGTAGACACACAAAGAATTTTAAAACCATTAAAAGACACCCTAGGAATCTAATAATTACACCAAAGGTTTGGGAACAGTCCAATTAAACTTTTTAAAAATCTAAAATGGGATGTGCCTTCCATAATAAAATAATTAAAATCTCTGCCTGTATAAATTTAAAAAGTACAAAGTAGTTTAAGCAAGTTTGTTACAAGACAAACATACAGATGAATGACCTAAAGAAAATAGGACCTTGATTCTCTATTATATGCATAATTTCACCAAAAAAAAAAAAAGGAAAATCCATTAAAAGCATTCACTGCTCAAGAATGTTAACAGCCTAACAATATACAACATAGGCCATTTAAGAATTATATACTATATTTCAAGCTATAACAATTAGAGAAGAAAACAAAATTGGATGTTCCGACTGTATTTAAATGTATAAAACTTTCATGGGACCTACTGTCTACAGAGCAGAAAAACAATTATTCAAAGGAAAATTTAGTTTGAGGAAAGTGTGGTGGTAAAAAGGGCTGTCCTACTTTAAAATTTTATACTCTTTGCTAAACCAATACTGAATGGAGTATGATCCTAACATTTTAACAAAAACAAAGCTTTTTTAAGTAACAATATTATATGTGGGAAACTAATATTCAAGTTCAGGATAATATTTAGCATTAGCTATACTGCCCCTTGGTAGAGAGAAGCATTAACTATTAAGTATAATAAAAATGGTTTTTAAAAATTGAAATTGTAATCATTTGCTAAAATTATGAGTACATTTTCACTATTAATCTCCACGGCACAGTCTAGTTTAGCATACACATTGAGCCAAAAACTGTTTGAAAGATGCCTAAAATACAGAAATTGCTTATACTGCTCATGATTTACTATCAACTTGAAGGACTAAAATGGAAGGATGGAAATCTTTTTTGCTGCATTTTCTGCCCTCTATTGTGCCTAACACAGTAAGAAAACCACCACCATTGTCACTGGGACAAAGGCATCATGGGCTTTTCCATAACTTTGCATAACAGATTCCTGATAACTCTAAGGACCTCCTCCCAGGCCCAAAGAATCAGATTGACTTCCTGCCACTTTGGTGCAGACTCATCAGTTGTTAGCTCTCTGAAACCAAAATATTCTCTTGGCTTTTTAAAAGGAAGGATGCTGACACCACCTGTTACAGTTGTAATCCTGACTCTACCATATACGAGTGGTATGTGAAAATCATTTTTAACATCTCTGACCCTCCGTTTTTCATTGTAATATGGGAATAATCATACTGAATATAGGGTTATTCTGGGGATTAAATAAGATAAGCCATGAAAACACTGACCACAGTGTACAGGAGGTTTTAGGGGCCCGATCATTGCCAAGCTGTTTGCTATTATTGTTTCTGTGGCTACGTACTACATTCTTATCGTTTCTATTGGAGGCATTCATAAGGAAGTTTTGAAGATTCTAATGTCTGAAGTGCATTCACCTAACAATTGATGCAAATCATTTACTTCCCTGATTTCCAGTCTGACACGAAGTTTCTATAAAAAATACTGGTGTCTGGTTTTCTGAATAGAGCAATAAAACCAGAAACAAAATACCAGGAAGATAACGGAGCTTAAACTTCAAGGCTCCTGATTTGCCCAGATGCTTCCAAAGTACTATTCCTAATTTTCTATTTAGAATCTGTATTCCTTTTTTCTTCTTTTTTTCATAGAGGAAACCCAAAATTATATAAGCTTCAGGTCCCATAACACCCAGATCCATCCCTAAACCGGGCCTGAGGATTTTAAAAGTTGGAATGGGGGTCATCTTGAGAAACTCTGTTGGCACAAAGGACATCATGTAAAACATGCCAATATTGAAAAACAGATGCTATGCTATTAATAAAAATACGTCTACTGTTCTGAGCAGCAAGGGGAGGGGAACAATAGTAAGTTCCACCACGGCTCTAACACTGGCATATAATACACCTTTAGGTTCATTATCCATTTCAGGACTTAAGGATAGAAACAAATCTCAGATTTAGCATAACTGGGGCTCTCGGTCTGAAACCACTGTTTCTTCTCCCTGTCCACAGAATCTTTTGCATGCCTACTTTGTGCCTTCCAGGCATGGGGACAGCGGTGTACAAAACAGGCAAAAATGCCTAACCTCATGGAGCCGACACTCTATCCACATGGCAAGTTCTGTCCCTCAGCAGCCAGCACCACTCAACCCGGACTCCCGCTGCGGCTGCTCATGAAAGGCACGTGGCTCTCGGGGGGGACGCTCTTCCACCGGCCCATTACTTCTGCACCTCCAAGGGGGAGTCTATGCTCTGGGCATCCAAACGTGCTTCTCAGTTGCCCTGGAGAGGCCATGCCTCTGCTCAGCAGCCTTCAAGCAGTTATTTATTTTTGATTGCTTTTGGACTTTCTCAAAATCATCTGTTTTCAGCCCTCGCTGACGTGGCATTAAGAATTGCTGCCTTCAGTGTGGCATTGGCTGGTATGGTTTCTTCTGTATGCCCATGGGGAAAAAAGAAAAATTAAAATAACTTGAAAAAACTGGACTGTGTCCAAATCCATAAGGCAAAATTCAAATAAAGTATGTTTCATAACTCAATTCCTGAACATCTTTAATGTGCCTTTCTCCTGTAACTGTAAAAAAACAAAAACAAAAACCCTAAACACAAGCACAACTCAGTGGTCACTGATAAACACAGAGAAGTGACCGAGGAGCCTGCAAAGTGGAGCTGCCCACATGAGAAGCAGCTTAACTGTACACCAGCCAGCATGGAGTGGCTGCGCTGTGACATAACTGGGACTCATGATGGAAAACACTGTCTTTCCATTCACGGCATATACGTCTTTCTCACATTTCCAGTTGTACTAGGGTACCAATCGGTGAGCTGCTAGGCCTCGTGCTATTTCTGTCGTGGCTATTTCTGGAAGTGTCTCTCACCACCCTACACTTTTCAGAGTGCAGTCCCTTATTTTAAAGCAGATCACTCCAAATTACCCTTCATCTGTGAAAATCACTCAGCTATTCTCAAGAAATGTGCTATACCAGAGAACCAGAAACTTAAGCTTTTTTAGTGTAGATTCTAGCCAGGTCTATACAACAGTCCATGTATGCAACCTTTCATTTTTTAGCCTATAACGCAAATAATTTTTAATTTAATCATTTTAGCCCCAAAGAAGATGTAAATGATTCAGAACTCCTCTTTTTCTCTCTGATTTTGAATATCACCTTCAATTCATACACTCTTTAATTTTAAAGGTAAGACTTTTTCTATTCCACAATTTTTTTTTTTAAATTTCTGTGTACACAGAACATCTTTAGTCCTGGGCTGACACAATTTACTATGAGCTGAAAATATTTATGTATCATTCTAGTCTGAATGGCTGGGTTTTCTTTTGCCCTTGAAAACCAACCATAGTCGCTATTCATTTAGCACACTTGGGCAGATCGCAATGCGTCAAGAAAAACATGACACAGTTCAGCGATTCCTAATCTAAGGTTTTTACAAAGTTTTATGAAGATGGTAATGGAGGTCTCTAAGCTAATTTCAATATTCAAAAAGCCCAACATATTTCTCTCCCTCAGACAATATTGTCCACCTTTAGGTGATGAGACTTAAATTCAATGAAGCTTTATTCTTCACCACATATTTGTTGATCAGAGGGAGGCTCTGATTGGTACTTACAGACCTGATTTTTATTTTAAAAAAACTAATGAATATACTTTAGTAGACACAATATTTCAAAATATGGCACCTGCGGAGATATCAAATTATAATAAAAGGGGTTTTAGGTTGTGAAAGGATTGGGAACGGCTGGTATAGCAGGAAAAAACAAGGTTTTGAAAGTCGGAAGACAGGTTTCTAGTCCTAAGCAACATGATTGTGGGCAAGCCACTGCATTTTGTCTGGGCCTCCATTCTTAAGCTACAAAATGAAGGTCTCGTCAGATGATACCTGAGATGTCTTGCAGCTCTAAAATGTTTTTTTATGGATCTTAATGTTGTACATGCCCAAATACCCAGAGTCAACTCATTCTTTGCTTTAACACTCCATTCTCTCCCAATCAGATGCAATCGTGATTAAACCCCAATACCCCAGCAGATAAGTTCTCCCCTCATTCTAGCTGCCATAACCAAGACTGCTAGTTTTCAGTTAAGACTCAGCATTTCACACAGGACACCTAAAAGATGCTCTGGAGAAAGGGGACAAAACCCCAGTTACGACAGAAGAAACCGAACCAGAAAAAGGAAACAAAGCAGGACACTGCCATACATGGTGTACAAACACTGTGGCAGGCAGTGATGTACCATTAACCTCACAACTACCCTTCTGTTAGGAATTACTACCTTTTATAAATAAGGTAACTGACTTGCCTAACGCACTGTGATCCACTTATTTTACAAAAATGGAACTCTATAGCTTCAAATTATAAACTTTTAGAGGACAGAGTTTTAAGTAGCAATATATTCCTGGAGACAAAGATCTGAAAGTGGGTCTGAAGAATGACGCTAGCCTATAATCCTAGCCTTGTTAAAATCTGATTAAGAAAAAAATGTTCTCTCCTTTTAAGTGCAGAAAGCTATGTAAGATGCTAAACTAAACTGCATACATTAAAGTCACATTCAGGTAATATTGTCACATCTTCTGGGTGACCAGGCAGCTTCTTATAACCAAAGCCCAAAAGATATAATCTGAACAGTTTAATGAATAAATGTCTCCTATCTCTAATATTCCAGAATTTCAACTCCCATTTCACCAAATGAAGGTGTCTTATTTCTCACGTTTTGTATTCAATTAGAAATAATCACAGAAATCTGAACCTTGTCTGACATGAATTTAATCTTACTTGTATAATAATCACAAACCACCACCCACCAATCTGAAGATCATGTGAAATAATTTACACGATCATGTTTCTGTGACTTGGAATTACTTAACTAAAATGCTTTTAAACAAGTATCGTCAACATTAATGTAAATACCCTATTTACTTTCACAAAATAAACGTGTTTCCTCTTCTCAAAAAGGTAGAGAAAGTGCAACTTAAATCACAGGATTTAAGTTACCAACCCAATTACCCAGATAAACTATTTATGTGTTTCGCAGGATTTTGCATGTATGCGTGTATTTTAATTAAAGAGTGTCTGTTTAGTCAAGGCCTGGAAAAGACTTCCTCAGACTCAAGAAAGATTTACAGTTAAGCAATAACATCTCGAGGCTTCTTTTAAGTCGGATGCCACTGTGAAATACTTACAAGGTTTACGACTGCAAGAGGGTGGCTCTAGAAAGGTGCACCTCTGGCTGCTTGGCTGCACACCCCGGAACTCGGCAGGCTCTCTGGCGGCAGCGTCACACTCCAGTCCCCAAACGGGAGGAATCCCGTCCCGGGCACAGCACTAAGCGCCGAAGGCTCTGGTTCAGGATGTCTAGCCTGCTGACACTCCCATTAACTGCGGCTCTTTCCCGGGATACAGCAATTGTAAACAGGAGCCTGTTTCCCTGATAGAAAAGCCTCCTCAACCCTCTCACTTTGGCCAGGGTGTGACTCCTCGAGGGAAGAACCCGTCGCCCACCAACAGGCTGGGGAAGGCGCTGCGACGCCCCTTCCGAGCAAATCGGAGGCCAGACCCGCCGGCGTTCCCGTGGGCCAGGGCCGGGGGCTTTGCTGGCCCGCGCCGGGGCAGCTCGGTCGAAAGGCTGTAAGGCCGCCCACACTGGCTCCCTCGCTTCCCGCACCGGGCCCTCCCCGGCCCCTCACTACTGAGCCCGAGCCGGACGGAAGCCAGCCCCGCAATCAGACCTACTCACCGGTTAGGAGAGAGACGCCCGGCAGCCATCTTAAGACCCCGCCAACATCGCGCCTTCTCATTGGCTCTCGCATCACAGCCAATGGAGTAGAGCCGTTCTGGCCACTGAATTGCCATGGCAACCGGCCGCGCTCACCTCTGTTTTTTTAAATCAGCTGAAGAGAGTGCTTCGTTTCTTTCTTTTTTTTTTTTCCTCTCACCGTTTTCGCCTTTTTTTCTGCTCGTTTCTTCAAGCTTTGTTGTTTCTCCATTCCCTGCCGTACGCCGGTGCTGGCTTAGACCTTGATCGGAGTTCGTTCCACCAGGAGGGAGAATAGCGGCAGAAGCGCTCCAGTGCCCTTCTGGGAACGTTTCCATTCGTTCATCCTTTCCTCCCTCCCTTGTTTTTTTTTCTTTCTGAACATATGTGTTGAGCAGGCATCATGCCAGGCTCTGTTGAGCGGAACACAGTCCGGCTCCTGCTCTCGTGCAGCTTACCATCTGGTTATCGTCCACGCTGCGCGGCCTCGGCCGAAAGCGTATTGACCTTTTTTCACGTCAGCCAGGGTTCGGGGCCCTGAGGAGGGGTTTGGGGTTAGCATAGGAAATAAGCAAGAAGAAAACAACCAAGAAAAAAAGTGCTAAGACGAAAATAAAGGAGAATAATGTGGCCATGATAGGAGCGTGGCTTCCATGTTCTGAAATCGTGTTCTCTAGTAATGATGAGACTAGTTCCTATTTTCTCGTGTTGTAGCAATTATATAAGAAAATACACATAAAGCCTTTAATCCATTACCTGTCCCACACTAATTTTCAGTCTTAGCTACTTGTTATTGTTAATATTATCAAGAATGCTTTTCTTTGAAACATTCTAAAAATGTATAAAAATTTTGCATGGCACTCAATAATCTATCACGATTTGGTATAAACAGATCTTTAACCTTATTACTTAACTATCCACCGCCTCAC